TTTTTTAACCATGGTTAGTTTCGAAAAAGATAGTATTATCAGTTGTGAGTGAGATTTTTAGTTTATCGGTTTTGCTATGGAGCCAACGGTTGGCTCCATAATGGAACCAACCTTCTATATACAACAAGTAAACCTACCATATTCTATGATTACTTAAATAACATTAATATAATTTCATTAGTATGATAAGTTTATTTGTTGTATATAGAAGGTTGGCTCTACTATGGAGCCAACTGTTGGCTTCATAGCAAAACCGTTTAGTTTATATTAATATAATATTTAAAATTGATTTAATGTAAAAATAGAAGAGAGATTATGAGAGTTGATAGTTAGTTATAATTATGTGAGTGAATGAATAATAAATTAAAGTTGATATGCTGTGTGATTGAGTGATAGTATTTAATTATATAAATAATATTGAGAACATTTGAGTTGAAGTTGAATTATATTTAAGTTAAAAAAAAATGATTGTGCTCTTTTAAAGAAATTTGCATCTCTCCAAACTTCGTTCAAATCTTCCCTGGTGTTTCATTCTAATTTGTAAAACAATAAGAATTTAACACGTGTGTACTATGTCAAACATACGAGAAATGCTAAGGTCCCGTTACGGAACTATTTCGTCGAGGTTTGTAACAATTAGATCATCATATAACCATCAGAGATAGTTGATCTAACGGTTACAAACTCCGACGGAATAGTTCCGTAACAAAACTGTAGCAACTTTCCAAACTTTATGTCAATTATCTTACTTTAATATCATTATCAACAACAACAACAACAACATATCCAGTATATTCCCAACTGGTTGGGGTCTGGGGGATCAGTTGTACGCAGACCTTACCCTTGTAATTATACAAGGAAGCTATTTCCGTAGCGACCCAGGGTGCATTGCGTCGTTTGATATATTTTTTTTCTAAAAACTTCACTAATAGAAGATTCACTAGAATTTTAATATCATTATCCATAAAAATAATAATAATAAAAAAAAGCATAGCAATTTAAGCAATTGAAAACTATCATTCCCATAGCCCATCCTATCCTCAATTTCTAGAAACACTTAAAACTTTACTGCTTCAAATAAAAAGTTAAAGAATCCATTTATAGCACTCAAAATTTTACAGCTTCAAACAGAAATTCAAGTGTTCATTTAGCACTAATTTGAGACATTGTTAGAAACATTATTCAAGAGATAATATTTGCACTAATTTGAGAAACATTGTGAGGAGAAAAATATTCCTCCAATTCTTGGTGCTACATGATGAAGTTGAGCTCTATTCTCTACTCCTATAAACACACATTTTTTTTATTAAACAACACAGTTATATTCTGGCCAATCGATGAATATACATACCACCATCAACCCTTCGGGTTTATCTCGTAACTCACCTCCGATTATAAACTCACGCCGTAAAGGATATTCACTGCAAATTCCTGATTGTTAAATCGCCAAAATTGTAGCGTTCTGCTAAAAGAATCCAAAAAATGTGGCGACCGCAAAAACTAAGAATAGAACCCCACCAATGTACCCAACCTGATTACAAAACAACGCAACAATCATAAAAAAGTCGACTAAAACTTATCATATAGTATATGAAAAAGAGTTGTTTTTTTTTTTTTATTTTTTTGGTTCTCTCACTAATTTCTTACCAGTTTTTCGGAAATGTATTTGGCGAGAAATGCTCCACCAAGTATTGCAATGGATGTTGCCAGCAGATGGCCCACAATGGCACCACTTGCAACACCCCACGGGGACTGTTGTATAGGAAAACATAAACGAGATGTTTTATAGTTTCAAATTTTTACGACTAAATTGCGTAAATTGCACAAACCAAACCAATCATCTTCTAATTGCAAAAACACCTCTCAAGGTATGTTTAGTTGAAGTGCAATAGTTAAGATAGAGCAAATGTTTTGTGGCTATTTGTAAATTCCAAAGGATAATATGAGAGAAAATTAGAACCTGTGCAGCACCAAGAGCTATAGTCGCCAGCATCGAGCGGTCTCCCCATTCCTGAAAGAAAAAATCATAACAAGGATAATTTCAAGCTCATTCTCGAGAATAAGTAAAGAAACGCTTCCAAGCTTGTGTATTGTAGATGACGTAACAGAATAAAACATAAATCGCAACAAAAAATGAATGGAGAGCTAAAAGCATAACTCAACCTCACATGGCTACACAATACTAGGTATAATTTTATTTTATTTTTTCTCACAATAAAAAGATGAAATTAAAAAAGTGTTTTTGAACAGACATTTTCCTCGGTATTGCAACGAAAGACGAGAACTTACAGCAAAAAATACAAGACTGAATGACTTCCAGAGGACTTCCAGGGGATTGGAAAGCCTTTTCGAAACCTGCCAGTGTACCCAAAAAAAAAAGAGTAAGGGACACAAACAAGGATGTTAAGGGATATATTAACAGAATCCTCTCCAGGTTTCGACCAATTACGGAAAAACCCAGTAAATGTTTGAAAAAATTATGAATACCCCCATAATGTATTACAAAAACTGTCTTGGCATTTGCATTCACTAACCAACATACTCTCACATTTGGGGATGCAGTTCATATAACAAAGAATATGTCTGATCTTGAAAGGTAGCAGGCTGGGCTTGTTTTGAAGTTACTATGAGAAACAGATATTACTAAGAGAAAGATGCCACCTTTTCCTTTACGAGCTCTTCAGCTTCCGTGAACTCGTCAGACTCTTTGTTTTCGGGCTCTCCAGCTTTAGCTGCTGTAGACGGCAGGCCCCACGCATCTTTAATCGATTTAAGTCCGAAAAACATCAAAAGGGTAACAGCTAAATATTCTCCGATCGGCAAAGCTGTCCAGGTATTATTAGCAAACTGTCACGAATTTTCAAAACTAAAACTAAATAAACCGAACCTTTTATATTATCATCCTCAATATTATTTCATCAGATGACATGCAAGTCTAATCTAGATATTTTTCAAAAGAAGCAGCTTACTTGTCTGAAACTGAGCAGGCACGGAATGAAATATCCGACCAATTATGACGGACAAGATAGTCATTAGTGATAGAGCACCCATGGATCCAAGAAGGACCTGCTCACCAATTAACAAATCATAAGACCACGATATTTTCTTTTGTTGATGCAATGAAAGATACTATTGCACAGTTCTAGTGTTAGTTATGAAAACGAAATAAATAATAGAAAATTGAAATTACATGGCATATGCATGAAGTATTTAAGTTAATTATCCACGCTCGTAAAAGTAACAATGTTAATTTGTCCCAATAACTTAACTTTAGTTAAGAGCTAATAGAAAATGTGAACACTAGTATATTCCAAAATAGCA